AGAACGTACAACCAAAGCCAAAGCTTTCTTTCGATCAAAGCCGAAGCATTCCCTTAGAGAATCTATAAGCACTCGTGCCGATTCCTTCAAGACTTTTTTGCAAGCTCAAAACTCGTAACGACGTGTGATTCAAGATCAAGTTGTCAAGACCCTTGAATCAACTAAATCCCACATCAACATCACCTTTGCCACAGGTCATATGCAAACCTAAAGGTGAAGAGTATCCACGCATTGTTTCAAGCTCAAAACTTGAAGCAATCGGTCAATCGTTCATCTAAGATCAAGTCATCGCGACCCTTGGATTAACAATCTATGCATCTACATCAAATTTGAAGATTGAATCAGAGAAAAATTATAAATAGAGATTGTAACCCTACAAATTTACTTTGTAAATGTGTTCTCGTTTCATTCATTATGGAATTTTTTTGTTTACATCCACAACCAAGCAACTCAAGCCATTTATGCGAGGAGTGGGCCCAAGTTATCGTATCTCAAGAGGAATGTGTCACATAAGCCAAAATATCAACAACAAAGTCTGCTTTTCAATAATATTGCAAAATGAAGTTCACTGAAATATATACAATAACTTCTGAATAGTATGTTAAATGTAAGGAGGTGTCAAGCAGAAGACGATCCTACATTTATGGCATAAATGAGGACCTTCAAATCTCCTTTACTTACCGGTTGGCAAAGCCATCCTTTTGTTTTCATGTTGAGGAAACTATGTGATGTTTTTTCTTTTTTTTGGTGAATTATGTTTGTCATGTTTTTAGGAACAAAAGAAAACAGTTGCTAAAGCCCAACAAGCTAGCAGGGTTCTTGCTTCATGCTTCATGTTTAGTATTTGTCTCACTTGTCTTCAATAGACCCGCCCAATTTAACATATTATCTGTTTGCTTAAGGGCCTAAATTTTTTTGATGCGCTATGGGCTAAACACCCCAAGTATTAGCCCCTCTAGTGATTTTTTAATGCAATTGTCACATAACTACATATATAATTTGTTGATTAATATTTGATTTTTTTTAATACAATTGTCACACATACGTATATAATTTGTTGATCAATATTATTTAAGTCCATAAACACCATATGTGTTGGCACATACGTATATAATTTGTTGATCAATATTATTTAAGTCCATAAACATCATATGTGTTGTCAATTTCTATTATAACACATTAACTGGTAAAAACTTCAAGTTTTCTCGTCAAAATTATTCATTATTGAGTAGAGATTAGTAACGATTAACAAGATCATTTTGCAAGTCAAATTTATCTCCACGCAGGGAGAAGCTTTTTTATCCCAAAATCTACATACGACACCAAAAACACAAAGTGAAACTAACTCTTGCCGAGTGAGACTAATTACACAAGGTTTTGGCTAAATTATTAAGTAGTGTCGCCACCTTACGTGATCTAAGTTTTCGTACCATAAATTTTCTTGTGCAAAAAGTCAAATTTGAAACCTCCTCACTCCTTTGTATAGAAGAATTTCACTAGTGACACAAATGAACATGATGAAAATCTACATGAGGTATTCAAATCTCACTTGGTTTTTATTTTGGACAATGCTAAATTGTCATTAACACACTACTAAAATGATCCAATCTCAATCTCAGCATCCTTGTCAATATTTTTTTATTCTTCTGATTAGTGATAAAGTGACATTTCATTAAACATTACACATGGATACATCGGTTCCAATTGGATTCAATGTTCTGGTGATCAAGAAATTGATTTAGAGTGAATATGCTCAAACAATTGAGTAAACACCTAAACATCTACCACATGCACAAAAAATTACAATGACCATTGATACAAATATGTCACAAGGACAATAGGCGCAACAGATTCGTATTGCGACAACAATGGGTCATCGTAGAAGATCAAGACCACATAAAATCATCGATGGTACACGAGATCTCATTGTGTAGGACGACACATCCATCGGATCAAGTTACCTAAGGTGGTCTTCGCTAAATTTGGAGTCACATGGTGACGAGCTGCTATGTTAGAACTCTTAATGCGGCATAATTAACTAATCTTGTTGCCTCGGGCAGCGTGAAAGCCATATCCCAATGGTCGAGACGACGAGGCTGTCAAATCCAGTCCCCCAATGCAGTTTGAGCGTCAAATCAGGCAGTACATGGTTGCATAGCCACATGACATACGAGTAAGGCCTGGTTTGGTACTGAGGTGATTCTGAAAAACGCTAGTATCAAAAAAAGCTAGGAGCTCTTTTTATGTTTGGTAAACATTCAGCTTCAGCTTTTTTTCACAGTTTTGGGTGAAAAAAAGCCAAAAACAAGAAGCTGCAAAACCCTGCTTTGAAAACCCAGCTTTTTTTCATATCTGTTTTACATAAAAGTTTACCAAACACTATATTACTGCTTTTTTTTTTTTCAAAAGCACTTTTACAAAAAAGTTTACCAAACACTCTGTTGCTCAGCACAGGAGAAGCAGCTTTTTTTCAAAGCACAGTAATACCAAACCAGCCCTAAGTCTTGGGGCAGTATTTGCTGAACGCCAACTGAGCTGAATTCAACAGATATCGCCACCTAAGGCTGTGCAAGTGCCAGATCCTTTTCTCGGGCAATATGACCATCAAAATTCGTCCTCAAGGTGTGCTATATCGAACTTGTCGCATGAAGTAGCTATTGTGTCGATGGGAGGATTCGACCCACCAACGATTACTAAATGTCGCTTCCAAATGGTGGGAAAAAGGGAAGAGATTGGGCAAGGAAGGCGGGCTGAACAAATGAAGAAAAAATGAGAAAAGCTGAAGAAAAAAATTGAACTGGGAAACAGAAGAAGAATGGCCACATGAGATGGAATGGCGGCAAGTGGGGAGAGAGAAGTAGAAGCAGATGGGTGACGGAAGGGAGGAGGACATGCATGCGTAGGGAAAGGGGAAAATGAATTAAAGAGATTGCAAGGTGGGAGGAGAGACAATGGGGCAAAGGGAGAGAAGGAAGGAAGAAACAGAGAGATGGTGTGGTGAGAGAGATGTAGAGTGGAGGCGAGGAGGTTTGCCACTAACCCCAAATCGAAGCAAGGAGTTGGCAACATTGGAACTAGATCTAAGGCTTTCTTTTGTTTCAGGGTTTCACAAGAAATTGGAGAGAGAATGGAGCGTTTCTTTGGTTTATTCAAAAAACCTCGTCAATCTAAAGATTATAAATCCAATTCCGACTAGTTAGATATAATTTCCTCATCCATCTCCTTATGTTTTATTGTTTATCAACATCTATTTTCTTGTCTTCATTGTTTTACAATATCTACTTCTAGATATCATCTGGGTGTATTCCATATCCTAAAATGTCTCTAACTCAACTAGTATAAATGCACCTTTTTAGAGTTCATCTCTGATAACAGAACTATCGCACACTATACTTTTATGTCCTACTTATGTCTCATATATTTGCTTACTGGGGGTTCATCTCTGATAACCTAATTCTCCTATGATTGGGTTCAAGTTAAATGAAAGATATGATCATAGGGTTTGATAGTGGTCGGGCCGATCCATTACCGGTATTGTTTATCATCAAAACTATTCATATTATAAAACAAGGCATAAAAATTATTTCTACAAAAAAAAAAATCAATTAAAACTATGATCGTTTAATCAATCAAATTGTAGCAAATAGATAGATGGTTTGTAATATTTTTGCCAATTTAGACAATATGCTTTATACAATTCAATTTCTAAATATCTATTTTTATTGACTTTTGTAGCAATGATTTTACATAATGTTTTATATATTAATGATTCTGATTATAAGCATGATGTTTCGTGGATGGGCCACAAACAATTTTTTTAGAGACGAGTATCTCTAAAAAAGATAGAAAAGTAAGTGTCACATATATGTGTGCGTGTACCTCAATGATTATTGAGTTTGAAGTGTTTTTCTAATTTGTTGTTATTAATAATTTTCATATTCATTTATGTTCAAGGCGTGTTTTTAGGACCAAGCACATTTTACATGCACCATCGCGATTTATAATTAGTTTAAAATGATTCACAAGATTTCAATTTTTCATACTACACCCCAACGTTTCACATTGAATCACTTTACACATTTTATCAGGTTAGTGAGAAAATGAGAAAGTGGTGCATAAACTACCTCTATAATATAAGTTTGGTTTTTACCTTAGTCACAGCTTCGTGAACCATGCAAAAAGTCAAGACTTCATCAAGATACACACTATTGCATGGTTATTAACACCCTCAAAGTATCGCTTGTATAAAAAAATGTCGAAGCTATTTTAAAAATACATGGTACAATAACATAAACAAACCAGTTGACAAAAGTTACATGATGATGTTTACTACAATGTAGCTCAAAAGTCAGAGGCAAGAAATGCTTAATCGAAACACCAGTAGGCAGTAGCTAGCGTCGATACAAGTAGATGTGGCTAATGGAAGTTCTTGATGAAGTCGTGAATGTGTGTGTTGATTTCATCAGGCTTTTCTTGTTGCAAAAAATGAGCAACTCCTTCCATTACAACTACTTGTTCCAGAAGCGGCGCATATTTCTTGAACCCGCCTTTGTGTATGAAGTCCTTGGCACCGGGAGAGTTATAAACTAGGTCCTGGTCTCCAACAATAAACTTAACCGGAACTTTCACTTGAGCACCAGTCCATGCTGTAGTCAGTTCCCAATTGCTGCATTGTTCATGCACAAGATGTTAATTAAAACAAGAATGATTACTAGATTATCAGCCATACAAAGTTCAAAGAAAATTACGTACAGGTCCAAGTTCCGATAGTAGTTTATGCCGCCGGTGAAGCCCGTCTTCTCAAATTTAGTGGCATAGTAGTTAACCTCATCCTCAGACAACCAACTTGGCAAGACAATAGGAGCATCTGTGGGACGTCCAAATCCTTTGCCTTTAGGCAGGAAAAGTGGACCAGGGTTCCTATATGTTAGAAACTCCTTCAAAATTCTTGTAGTGCCCATCTGAGCAAACTCAGCTTCTATCACTCCTGGCTCCTACAAATATGAGTAATTTGTCTAGTCATAAGAAAAATTGCAATTGATATTATGCGAGTATGGGATTTCGAAATTACAGAGATACTATCTTGTTGTTTTGGTGTTTTGTTTGGGCACAAAAGTCTGTTTTTTGGGCTTCTCTCTGTTTTCCTGTGGTGGTCCATATTTCGGATGTGCATATATTGTAGTTGAGCCTCATTTCTTGTAATTATGTTGTGCTGGTAATGAATTTACCTTTCTCTCCAAAAACAAACAATAGTGTTTTCGAACAAACCCAGTTTGATTATTGATTCAGATTCACAGTCTATGAGAAGAGAACATTCATAGCAATTTCAGCTTATAACAAAGTTGATTATTTTTTTCATAAAGATTTAATGAAATGTATAGCTTAACCAAACTTAATCTTGATGACACAGAGCAGGATTACGTCATAATTATAAAGAAGAATAACGGTTAACTTGGGTTGGTAGAGGATGAGCAAAAACAGACTCAAATATTTGCTTTTGAAAGATAGAAATTGCAATCAAACAATATAGTGAGTCATTGACGCCACATCCTACTTATAAAAATAAAAAAAATAAAAATACTTTGGGATTTAGATTCATTACACAGATGGTCGTTTTCAATCTGTCCAGATGGTGTAGAAAAGTAAGCTCTTTAAAATAATCACTGGAATAGCGTAATAGGCAAATGCAATATGTTGTAGCTTGTAGAGATTAAACTAATAAGCAAAAGCAAGCCTTAAGGTTCAATTAAATTAAAAAATTGAAAGTGAATCTTACTAGTCTTTTCTTTTTTGGTCTAAGTCTTACATTTCTCATTTCATGATATAAGTTAAGGAAAATTTTTTGTAATTCCCATTACCCCCATGAATTGTCCATTAAACCTGTTTCCCTCTAATATTTTAAAAACATGCGAATATGTTTCGTACCATTAAATCCTTCAATGTTTTTGTACATTTTTTTTGGTTTATTCAAATTATTCTAGTGGACAAAGAAAATTGTAAGAAACTTGATGGCACGCTTTAAAACATTAGAAAAGCTTACAACTAAATTGAAAGTCGAGAGGCAATTGAAAGATGATTAAATTGTAAACAAATTTACCATTAGGGACTGATGTTAAGGTTGACCTAAAAATAAAATAAAAACAATAAAAAAAAAATTTCAATAGTAAAGTACAGATAGAATTTCATGGGGCTCAAAAAATCCCAAAAAAAATATATAAAATACCAAACCTGAAATCTGCAAATGTAATAGTCATCGCCATAAACAGCTTGAAGGGACTTGATGATCTTCCTCTGAGGGTTTCGCGGCGAGAACGCCACGCTCAAGCTGACCAAGGCTTTGAGCCGGTCGGGCCGGAACAGGCAGAGGTACCAAGCGATGATGGAGCCCCAGTCGTGGGCCACCACGAACACCTGCTCCTGATCGGGTGCGATGGTGTCCAGGAGCGCCACGAGGTCTCCAACCACGTGGAGGCAGGTGTAGCTGGAGGGGGAGGCGGGGGCGTCAGTGTCGCCGTACCCGCGGAGGTCGGGGGCGACGGTGCGGTAGCCGAGGGCGGAGAGGGCGAGGATTTGGTGGCGCCAGGAGTACCAGAGATCGGGGAAGCCGTGGATGAAGAGGATGAGTGGGCCATGCCCTTTCTCGGCGACGTGCATGTTGATGCCGTTCACTTGGACTGTTCGGTGCTCTATTCCCTCCGACTCCATGATCGTCGATCTCTCTCTCTCTCTCTCTCTCTCTCTCTCTTTTGTAATAGTTATCAGTGAGTGATTAGTGTTTGGGTGTTTTGGTGTCTTTTTATAGAAGGAAAGCAGCAGAAATGGTCTGATAGTAACTGAGAATCTGTAAGAAGATAAGATAGAGAAGGGAGGTAAACTTTCACGTGAAAACAACTAGCTTGCAATATGGAAGATGCTTTCCCTTTTTCTCCATCACTAGAAACAGTTAGTTTCTTTATTTTGAGAATTAACCAACATGATTAGAAATTAAAGTCTAAATAATTAAATACGGACGACACTTAAGGATCCATGTATGTTTTTCGGATCAATCAAAAGCCACAAAATTAGCTAGAACTGAATGCAGAAAGTATGGAAACGCAACTTGTACATTTTCTAACCGAACAATAGATTATGCTATTGCGGAAATACCTACTTGCTCAGAAATATCAGAAGTGCAAGTGTGAGATAATTGCATATAATGACAGAAATTAACATGATAATGTAGGTGATGACAACGACAACGGTGACAAGAGCAATGAGTGTGATAGTGATGGTGATTCCAATAAAGGGGTGTGGTAGTTCGGCTGCCAAGATAACAATACCATAGTGCAAAGTGGCAAGCTAAATATAAACTTTAATTTAGTAATTAAATTAACTCTTGAACTTTTAGGAATAGTAGATACTTCACCATTGTACTCAACATGCATCCATTATTCGGTGTACATTTCTTACATGACAACATGTTAAATGAGTCGATACCATACAGAGATATACAGATAGTTTCCCGAGTTGTATGCAAGTAGAGAATGAAAATGTGAAAATCTGATGGTGCGGAAATATTTATAAATGTTCAAGGAGTAATCATAAAATAAAAATTTATGGTGATAAATAACAAGTCATAAATTATTTTTTTTTTAATAAACGATATTATCTATAATAAAATAAAGGTGGTGAATTTAGTCTCATAATAAGTTAGCAACAATGTGATTTAAATCTACTTTTAATAAAAATCAAACTTAAAATCTTTAATTTATAAATGAAGATAAATACTAAACGGTTTAAAATATAAGGACGAAACCGTCAATATACGGGTTAAATGTGTTTCACGAAATGGCCTCTCTCCCCTCGCTTTTGGAGAATCGGATTATGGGAGTGGGACCCAGAACTCAGAAGATTTATTTTCCTAGCTAATAATTGTTGCACAGAACATCAGAGCCCAGAATCTGCTGTGTACACTGTACACGAAGCAGAGCATGGTTCTTTCTTTTCCTATTTTCACTCATTTTTCTCTTTTTCTCTCATATTTTATTTTTTATCTTAGTGTTTTTGTAAAAAAATTAATATAATATATTAACATGGTTTAATCGTAATTGTTCAAATAAAAATAAAGAGAAAGAGAGAAATTAAGAAATAAGAGAATCCTCCTCCACATGGAACTAAGGTCATATATTACGGAATATGTCAATGATCTCCATCTACTTTGTTTATTTTGATACACACCTTGAGTTTTGAATTTCCTTTATTGGACATTTGTGACACCAATCAACATTAATTAGTCTTTTTGTTAATTCAAAATGATTTATCCTTCTAATTTAGCATTATCTACAATAATTAAGATTTATCTTCAGTTCCTAAAAGTTGTTACATACTTTACTTATCTACCAAAAAAAAAAATTATCTAGAGTATCATCTATGAATATATTTTTTTTAATTATACCAAAATGATGAAATATTCATTTTTATATGGTTTCATAATTGGGTACATTTTAATTTAGAATTGGTACGTTTTCATTTGTCACGGGTACGGTTCCATTTAGCGTGAGTGCTTTTCAATTTGAAAATAAAAATAAATTTAAATTTATTAAACTGACATGTAATTCTAATGCTTGCTCACAAACAAAAGAGAAAGGTAAAAATTATTGTTGAGGTTCACCAGGGGCAACACATAAGAGAGAGACTAACTCTAAAATGATGTGGAAATACCAAATAGATCAAGGAAAACCAAACGCTTTCTCAAGAAGTGAAAAGCAAACCCCACAGTGACTTATCTACTAGAGCAATCAACTATATGCACAATGTTTGGGCCGGAACGCAGTAGGTTGAACATGAATACCCTATTTACAATAACGCAATGAGTTTGAACTTTGAACTAGAACGCAATGAATTGAATACGCAGTACCCTATTTATCAGAGCAATCTACTACATACAAAATTGAGAGTTTTTGAATTTGTCCTCAGCTGTGGCCACGTGTATACTAAGGTGGATGGTGTTGAACCAGGCCTACCTCTTTTTTTTTTCACACCACAAAATATTTGGGCTCTATCAATGAAGCAAAAGGAATAGACTTTGTATCTAAACCCACTATTAAGGCCCACTTAAATAAGTAAATAACTGAAATACCCACAACCTCATCAGCTCAGCGGCGCGTGTGGGCAGCAGTAGCCTCCAGTGATCCCAAACAGCAGGGCCTTGGGATCTTCCACAATGTGTCAAACCAAACACGAATCGGTAGCTCCATGAAACCGACTTATCATTCCCTTATATCCCCTTTCATCATCTGCTCCTTCTGATTGGCAGTTGGCATATGACGTTTTGGTCACATTCCATTGAGCTTGCACATTATTGCCCTGGTCAAAAGATATGCATCACCATTTTTGCGTATTACCCTTACAAGTTTTGGTCACGTTAAGTTATTGAGTGGCATAAAATTTGTGAAGCTATCATGGACAGCTCCACTTTTGAGAAAGTCCTATTAGGGTTTCTCAACCAACAAACAACTTTTTCCATCTGTAGACATCAAAATTTCAGTGAAATGAATGTTGACCAATAATTAAAATTTCAACGCTCACGTATCACATAAATTTTACATGTAGCGTGTGCCTCAACGAAAAATCGAAATAAATTGGAAAAGTCATCAAATATGACACGTGTCAATGCCTGGCAGAAATGATTTATTTCATCTGATTATTTAAATCCAAAAATCAAGTTTTGGAATTCTATAAATAGGAGGCCAAGGCATTCATTTTGGGGGAAAGAAGGAAAGGAAGAGAAGGAGGGAGAAGGAAGAAAGGAAAAAAAGAGGAAGAAAGAAAGAAAGGAAGAAAGGAAGAAGCCTTGAAACTCTAAAGCTCTCAAGCAAATCCCGAAGAATCAAGAAAACACTCTTCGTTCATCGTTCATCATCCGTTCATCCTTTAAGATCAAGCCCCAACGGCCCTTGAAGATTCATTCATCATCCGTTCATCCTTCAAGATCAAGCCCCAACGCCCTTGAAGAACTTCCACCAACTCAAGATCAAGCCCCGACGGCCCTTGAAGAAAGTGTTCATCGCTCATCATCCGTTCATCCTAAGATCAAGCCCCAACGGCCCCTTTGGATCAAGAACCTCAACAAATCCACACATCCAATCAACCTTCAAGATTAAGCCCAGAAGCCCTTGAAGATCCGCTCATCCATCAACCTTCAAGATCAAGCCCCAACGGCCCTTGAAGAACTTCCACCAACTCAAGATCAAGCCCCGACGGCCCTTTGAAGAAAGTGTTCATCGTTCATCATCCGTCCTCCTTCAAGATTAAGCCCAAAAGCCCTTGAAGAACTTCCGTCCTCCTTCAAGATCAAGCCCCAACGGCCCTTGAAGAACTTCCACCAACTCAAGATCAAGCCCCGACGGCCCCTTGAAGAAAGTGTTCATCGTTCATCATCTGTCATTCTTCAAGATCAGGCACAACGCCCCTTGAAGATCCATTCATCAACTGTTCATCCTTAGATCAAGCCCCGACGGCCCTTTGGATCAACAATCCATCCACAAACCTACACCCTACGAAGATAGAATCAGAGGACCAAATTACAAAGAGATTGTAACCCCAAAATCATTAATACAAAATATATATTTTGTACACGTATTCTTGTCGCTTGTTTCAGGAATTTCTCGTGTTTACACCATCACCAAGTGACTAACAGTTAATAGACAAAACAAAAGATAAGAATGAGCAACAACAAACACCAAAAGGAGGATCTAGCTCTCCTCCAAAGGATCAAAGTTCTAACGCCTTTGCAGTTTGCAAAAAACAAAAACGGACAATCAAATCCAACCCCATTTAGCATCCCGCTTAATTAATCCAAAGAAAAGCAATTAGTAAAATATATAGGCTCTCCAAAAGACTAACAATGTAATTAAATTAAGGGAAAATTAAAATCCCCTGCACTTTTCTAATACTCTTTAGATTAAATATTGGTTCTATTTTGAAATTTGATTAGGACGCCTAAATGATAGCCATGTCAGTGTTTTTATATTTATTTAGATTACATGTAATTATTGTATTTTTTTTTAAATTTAAAATGTTAATTATTATCCTTTAAGGTTGATATATTTTTGCATGTGGCCTTTTTTTAGAAAGCCAGTTTCTTCTCCCATGTTTGAGCTGTATGGTTTCTTCTCCCACATTAGAATTCTATGATCCTCATTTTTGTATTTTGAATGGACTTATCGATTTCAATTAGTGTTTGTTTTCACTATTTTACATTAATATCATGTGAGATAATTAGATGTATTCTCTATTTTCGGAGGCTTGAGGCTAGTACGTTCATATAATATACTTAAACGTACCGAATACGTACTAAGAAGATATATAAAGTAACTTACCAAATATGTTTTTTTAAATAAATATAAACGTACCAAAATAATATATAAATGTACCAAATACATACAAAAAAGAAATATGAATGTCACATCCCGGCCCCGCCCGGGCGGGACCGCTTCCCTAACCCGCTCCACCACCGTAGCACGATATTGTCCGCTTTGGGCTTACCATTCCCTCACGGTTTTGTTTTTGGGAACTCATGAGCAACTTCTCAGTGGGTCACCCATCATGGGATTGCTCTAGCCCCCTTCTCGCTTAACTTCGGAGTTCCTACGGAATTCGAAGCCAGTGAGCTCCCAAAAGGTCTCGTGCTATGTAGAAATGGGAATATACATTTAAGGATCACTCCCCTGGGCGATGTGGGATGTTACAATGAACGTATCAAATACGTACCAAGAAAATATATAAAATAACGTACCAAATATGTACTAAAGAGAAATATATGTTTAATCAAGAGGAAATATATATATATATACCAAATATGTTTTTTTTTAAATAAATATAAACGTACTAAATACATATTAAAAAGAAAACAAACATACCAAAAGGTATATTGAATATAATGGCAAGTTGCATTCATGGGTATTTTGAAAGACTTTTTATTGGAATTAAATTCTACAATATTTATCTACAAGATTTTAGGAGTTTTGATGTATTATCTAGGAATTAAAAGGTACATTTATATAATGGCAGTTTGGGTAATTTAAATTATAAAAAATACTACTTATAATCCACGTGGCACCTAAATTGTAAGAAAATGTTTAATCAAAACTCTAAAAGGCATAAATGTTTAATCTCAAAATTTTAAAATCTAGGCATCTATAACATCCCACATCGCCCAGGGGAATGATCCTTAAATGTATATTCTCATCTCTACCTAGCACGAGGCCTTTTGGGAGCTCACTGGCTTCGGGTTCCATAAGAACTCCGAAGTTAAGCGAGAAGGGGGCTAGAGCAATCCCATGATGGGTGACCACTGGGAAGTTGCTCGTGAGTTCCCAAAAACAAAACCGTGCGGGAATGGTAAGCCCAAAGAGGACAATATCGTGCTACGGTGGTGGAGTGGGGGTGGGAAGTGATCCGTCCCGGGGCGGGAAGTGATCCGTCCCGGGTCGGGATGTGACAATTTGGTATTAGAGCCTAACCCTGGCCGTGGTGTGCCGACGAGGACGTTGGGCCCCTAAGGGGGGTGGATTGTGACATCCCACATCGCCCAGGGCAACAATCCTTAAATGTATATTCCCATCCTTACCTAGCACGAGGCCTTTTGGGAGCTCACTGGCTTCGGGTTCCGTAGGAACTCCGAAGTTAAGCGAGAATGGGGCTAGAGCAATCCCATGATGGGTGACCCACTGGGAAGTTGCTGGTTAGTTCCCAAAAACAAAACCGTGAGGGAATGGTAAGCCCAAAACGGATAATATTGTGCTATGGTGGTTCCGCCCTGGGCCAGGATGTGACAATTGGTATTAGAGCCTAACCCTCATCGCGTGTGTGCCGACGAGGACGTCGGGCCCCTAAGGGGGGTGGATTGTAACATCCCACATCGCCCAGGGGAATGATCATTAAATGTATACTCCCATCTCTACCTAGCACGAGGCCTTTTGGGAGCTCACTGGCTTCGGGTTCCATAGGAACTCCGAAGTTAAGCAAGAAGGGGGCTAGAGCAATCCCATGATGGGTGACCACTGGGAAGTTGCTCGTGAGTTCCCAAAAACAAAACCGTGCGGGAATGGTAAGCCCAAAGCGGACAATATCGTGCTACGGTGGTGGAGTGAGGCCGGGAAGTGATCCGTCCCGGGTCGGGATGTGACAGCATCTGTATCAAAAGCCCCTTAAATTAAAGAATTAAATATGTGCATATTAATAAAATTAAATTTTAAAGTGGAGAGATTAAATAAAAATACACATTAAATAACATAAAAATGAATACAAATTTTAATACAAGTACACTTCACAGGATTAAATTAAATATGTAATCTAGTACTATATTTTTTTTTTTTTAACTTTTAATCTTTTGGAAGAACTAAGGTTCAAAAACCCCTTAATTAAATGTAGACACCTGAAATACTAATTAAGTAACCAAATATATAGGCACGGCAGAGGTAGAGTTCCTCTTTTGCTGCTGCTCCATGTTGAGCTCCCTCAGGTTCAGGTAAGGAATGCCCATCTCATCCTTACTCGCCGGAGACATAGTCCCGGCGAGCGGCCAAGACGACGGCCGGGTAGTACTCAGGCAAGGAGCGCACGACCCGCTTCTGCTCTCAGTGATATAAACCGGCCCAGAAATCGATCCCCGGAAGGCTTTGGCCCTGGCCTGGTGTTGGACATCTTCATCGCCGCCGCGGATGGCGGAGACACGGTGGTGGTGGTGGTGGGGTGTCACCTTGTTCCATTTGAAGAAATGCAGAGCGCTTTTCCACCAGCAGTTCTTCTTGGTTTTGTTGTGGTGTGGCTTTTCTTTTGATATGGGCTTTTGGAGCTTGAAGTGTTTGGAGTCTATGGATCTCGTCGTCTCCGGCTTGTGCCTCCTTGCTTCCTCCAAAACCTTCATTTTTTTGACATGAAAAGAAACGGGTCAGATCAAAATTTATTGCAGAGTGAGAGTGTAGAGAGAGAGGAGAGAAGAAAGAAATGGGACCTGAAAGTAGTAGACTTGGGGGTCGAAGCCATAGTCGCTGAAGTGTTGGGGTTGTGGCATCGGAAAGATTGGTGACTTGCTGGACATTTTTCTCTCTGGCTTTTTTGGCTGTTTTTTAAGTGGTTTTGGGGGTTCCTTCTTTGTGTGCAAATTCCAAGTTTTATCGGTATTAAACATTGTGCTAAAATAAAAAAGCGACAACAAATTTAAAAAAAAAAAAAAAATCTCATTTTTCAGATAATCCATGCTTTTCTTAAGTAGAATAAATTAATAGAAGCTAGCTGCTTATGGTCTCACCTTATCATCTTGGAGATCCACTTCATCACACGTTTAGTTTAAAACTTTGATTAATCAATGGAAACCAAATCACGTGACCTCCATACAATCTTTGCTATTTTAATTTAATGCACGCAATTGAAATAAAAATGAAGATTGAAGAGCAAACCCCACTCAACCTTTGTCAAGTAGCTCTCACGACTAATGACATTGAATGATCGACCAAATTGGTCATGTGCTTTTCAACTCCACGCATGTTGCTGCACTTGTTTGGTGAGATCGATATATTTGTGAAATTTGGATGCCAATATATGGTTTATCATTTATTACCATGTGAAGATCTTAGTACAAAAATTTTACGTCCAATTTTTGTACTTTAAGTGAGTGTAATAATCAAACTCTTATCGTGAGTGTACAAGCTAGTACTTTACTATTCAATCCCGCTACCAAAAACAAATTAAATATAACACCATCTACCAAGCATCCTCATTTATGGCATCAATGAGGACCTTCAAATCTCCTTTACTTACCGGTTGACAAAGCCATCTTTTTGTTTTCAAGTTGAGGAAACCATGTGATGTTTTTTCTTTTTATGGTGAATTATGTTTGTCATGTTTTTAGGAACAAAAGAAAATTGTTGCTAATGCCCAACAAGCTAGCAGGGTTCATGCTTCATGCTTCATGCTTCATGCTTCATGTTTAGTATTTGTCTCACTCGTCTTCAATAGGCCCGCCCAGTTTACCATATTATTTGTTTGCTTAAAGGCCTAAAATTCTTTAGTGCGCTCTGGGCCGAACGCCCCCAAGTATTAGCCCCTCTAGGGATTTTTTAATGCAATTGTCACACAACTACGTATATAATTTGTTGATCAATATTGGTTTTTTGAATGCAATTGTCACACAACTACGTGTATAATTTGTTGATCAATATCATATTTAAGTCCATAAACATTATGTGTTATTAATTTCTATTATAACATGTTAACTGGTAAACATTCCAAGAATTATTCATTATTGACTAGAGATTAGTAACGATTAGCAAGATCATTTTGCAAGTCAAATTTATCTCCACGCAGGGAGAAGCTCTTTTGTCCAAAAATCCATATACATCAAAAACACTAAGTGAGACCAACTCTTGTACCATAATATGGTTTGAACCCACACTATCATGCAAGAGCTTAACTCACTTCTACCAATGTGGTAATTGTTAATTGCTAAGGGAAAAGAGAGCGATGGTGATTGAATTTGTATCATAATGCATAGCATAATTGATTTGCATCACTACAGTAAAGCGTTATGGGCCTATTTTCTTAAAAGGTTTAATATCATACTTTATTAGAAAAATTAATGAAAATGATTTGAACATTTTTAAAGTTTTATACTTTATTTTCTGTTGTTGGTTGCTCCACTACCCAAAACTATACAAATCTTATAATAAAAGTAAATAAATGATTGATTGATTGATCATTTTATTCTTTTGGTAAAAATTGATTGATTGATTGATCGATGGATTTTGTGAAAGGGCAGGGAGGGAAATTCCCAGAAGCAGACAAGAAAATGAATCAAATATGAGAAACGTAGGTAGCAAAGCAAGGGCAAGACAGTAATTTCGCTCAATTCCGCGTCAACCCCTCCTTGGCGTCTGAAAATCGAGACAGAATATGGTACTAGACGCGGGTTCTGTGTCTTGCTCTGTTTCTGTAATTAGTAGGAAAATAGAGAGCAGCAGTAACACACATTCCCACTCCATGGTCCATACCCATTACCCACTGAAATGAAACCACCAAGAACCTTCCTCTCACTCTCCCACTCCTCACTTTGCCCCTCTTTATTAATATTCTCCACATCCAATATCTCTCATCTTCTTTCTTTCTATATCTTTCTCTCGGACATTATCAAACACCTTCCCTGCACTCCAACCATGGACCGCTGCCCGCACGCCGACCATCTCGACGCCGCCCCGACTCAGCCCTACAAGGGCTACGAGCTCAGCGGCAAGATCATGCTCAGCGCCATCGTCATCCTCTTCTTCATCGTCATCCTCATGCTCTGCCTCCACCTCTACGCGCGTTGGTACCTCCTGCGCCCCCCTCGCCGCCATGCCCGCCGCAATCGCCGGAACCGCCGCACCCATATCGTCTTTCACGAGGACGCGGCCGCCCTCTCCGCCGTCCCCACCCGCAGCCTCGACGCCTCCATCCTTAATTCCCTCCCTGTATTCGTTTACTCGTCCAAATCGAGTCAAATGGCGCCGTTTCGGCAGCAGCCCATTTTGGAGTGCGCCGTCTGCTTGTCGGAATTCGAGGACGACGAAACGGGGCGTTTGCTTCCCAAGTGTAAGCACAGCTTCCATATCGAGTGTATTGATATGTGGTTCCAATCTCACTCCACGTGTCCCCTCTGCCGGGCCGTCGTGGAACCGGGCCCGGAGTCCGAAACCCGGGCCGACGTGGTTCTGAATGTCTGTGAACCGGACGAGCCGGGTCCGAGCTCCTATTTGTGCTCGGAGTGTTGTAATTCCGAGTCGGCGTCGTCTGGGGAGCGGAGAAAGCCGTCGAACATCGTGATTCCGAGAAGGAACGAGAGTTTTGGGAAGGCGGAGGGCTCGGGATGCGGCGAATCGCCGGCGGGTCAATCATTTAGGTCCCCGATGAGTCGGATGTTGTCGTTTAGGACAATGCTAAATAGGGAAAAACGGAACGGCGGCGTTTCGCCTTCGGGAGGAAACGGGGGGAGTTCCAGTTCGGTAGCGGCGTCGGATATCGAACTCGGTGGACGACAAGGGACCAGCGAGTGCACTCGGAGAGAGTAAAAAATAGTGACGTGGCTGTAATTTTATCGAAATTGGGGGCGGAGACATCCGGCGACTATCTGTTAGTCAGCGTTGACCTAATCGAGGCAAATGTGGAAATTAAATTTATACGTGGCAAGATAGAGCAGCGGTGGAATTCACGCTGTTTTTGGACGTGTATATATAATATTTTTTTCCTTTCCGTTACATTGATGTTTTTTTTTTTCTTGGTATTCGTTTCCTAAATTATAAAAGCTGTTAATTTCTTTATTGAATTTTAATTTTAATCGATTACTTTTTAGAATTTTTATAAATTATCAATTTTTTCTTTGAATCTTATTTTTAATTGATTACCTTTCTGAATTTTTATAAATAGTTAATTTTTCCATTGACGCTAAATTTTTAAATTTTCATCCAAGTATTTTTTATCTATTTTGATCAAGTGGACAAACGACAACTGTATGGGGGAAAAAAGAATGGAAATTGGATAGATGAAAATTAGATGAAAAATCTAAAATCTAACGCCAGGAGGAAATTGGCGTTTTATAAAATTTTAGAGGGTAATCGGCTAATTAACATCTATACAAGTTCAGGAGACAAACCGCCAAATATCTCTTTTTTCTTTCGGTTTTGTCTTGTTTTGTAATTATACAAATCTATTGGTACAAAAATTAGAATGAAAGAAGAATTTTGGGGTGTTTTGGAATTTCAAATGAATGGTGTTGAGTGGGTAACAAATAGAGAAACGATTTGGTTTTGGCAGAAATTTGGCTGTTTCCATTAGGATCTTTCAGAACTCCTTTGTCGTATAATTTTTGGGATTGTTTTGTCACAACCCCATGTTGAATGATGTTTGTGATTATTTTGTCACACTGTCTTATCATTTTTTTCATTACTATGTCTTGGCATTAGGTGTACAATATTTGCATATGTGACTATGTCTCGTAATCAGGTGTATAATTTATGTTTATTTTCCTCACTAAGTATGTATAATAATATATATGTATGTATCTTATTTGGTATGTTAACAAATACCAATCACGTAAAAATGTACTCACAACATGTGCACGATGAAAACTTCAATTTCATATATAAATTTCTCATATTAGCTGGCCATATGAGAATGTCTATTAAATAAAAATTTAAAATTTTGGTTGGTGAAGAAGTAAAACATCTTCTTATGAAAAAGAAACCACGTGGAAAATCATAGAGCCTTCGCAGCCGATGGAGAGGAAAATAATAAATGACAGCTTTGTAAGGCCACCATCACCAGTGGCAGCTGCTGCCGCCCCGCGATGTTATTTGCAACGTGTTATTCACCATTGTTTTTTGCTTGAATATTCTTTTCTTTTTGTTTGACAATATTTCAGGTAAGAACTTGAATTAACTCCGTGACGAGTATTATTGAGGTTTCTTAAAATGATAATTCGAGGGATAAATCAATCTCTTATAAGCATTTACATGATTTGGTCCCTTACGGATGTAGAACTTTATCATCACATTCTTGCAAAAACTTCCTCAAATTTTCATGTTAAATTAGTATTTTATAAAAAAATTTCATAATTATTTTTAAAACGAACGATAATTCATATTTTTTTTTAATAAACGATATTATTTAAACTAAGAGAATTAAGGAGGGTAGGCTTATCTCACAATGGGCTAGCAATAATGTAGTTTGAATTTACATTTGGCTAGAATTAAACCTAAAACCTCTCATTTATAAATGAAGAGTAACATCACTAGACCGTAATACTAAGTAACAATGATAATTCATACATTAGAGTGCATAGATCTAGAAAAAAAGTGTATAAATCACTCACTTTTCTTTAAACCTTAATTTCAACCATAGACAAAAATAGTATGTGGTCAATATTCTAATGAATAAGTTGTTACGTTTCTACCCATAAAGAACGTGTTTCCTTTATATCTAAGCCTCTTAAAACACAAAATCATTCACCTTTACATCTCTATCTTCAACATTAAATTTATGAGTTATCAACTCCAATTTCATTTTTGGTTGTGAATTCTTTGGAAATGGAATGAATTTCTCTTGTATTTTCTTGAAGTAAGATGGATAATATTTCGTTTATTTTCTGGGATCTGTGGATTGATTAAGACTCAGAGGAAATTTCGGTCACAAGTACGCGTCAAAGAAGAAAATGCCTTCTTCACCAAATAAATAAATAATAAATAAATAAAACGAAGAAGAAGAAAAAAATATATGAAACAATTAAAATGGTATTACCCTTATAAACGAGTTTTTTTTTTTAAACTTATTTTAAGTTATATAAAAATATGCAAACTTGATCTTAGCTTAGTTGATTAGATTAGTGTGCTCACCTTTTTGCACTCAAATTCAAATCACCATGGCGCATGTTAGATCAATCCATTGTAAATTATTCTATCAATTTAAAGTGTGAATACTAAAAAAAAGTACCAAAATCCGTATTCGAAAAATAACAGATGAAACGATTTCCAGGTCCCCGAGAGCTCCAAATCAAAACACAACGCAAAAATACATAGGGTTTACTGTTTATGGTTTTGACCTAGTCTCCTAAAAAACAAGTCGTGTTGGCTTTCTCCACATGGCACACGCTTTGTTAGCGGTGATGCATGAGAAATGGATCAGGTAACGTCGTCGTCGGAAAAACCAAGCTAAGCCACCCAGATTACTTACTCAATCAGATTTTCTTTTAGTCACATTGCCACACCGTGTCGTAGACTTTATTATGTACTTGATGTTAGACCTTATTAAGTTATGTACAATTTGGGTTACTCTACTTGTATTTCTATTTCATGTTTTTCATTCAGAAACGATTGTCATATATTTTAACGTCACATGATGTAGAATTTGCTGTGAACGTGACTCTATCATTTTCCATGATGTAAAATTTGCTGTTTACATGACCCCATCATTGTTTACTAAAAATATAAAATTACAAATGCCATATCTCATTTATCAAAGTTAAAAGTTCACATTTGTCGATGAAGAGGGTCATTCCAAATATGAAAAGTCGAGCATGTTTGGAACTGATCTAGGAAATTATTGGTGGATTATTAGAGAGCTTTCCGAGTAATAAAAATGGAATTTTAAATAAAAGCTTACGATACTGTTTATTTTAACGAAAAATTACATTTTTACATTAAAAAGTCAATCCTGGTACTATTCACTTTACCTTTTATTTTGTCTTTATCGTTAAAACTCAATGTTTTCAAACCCTTTTCGTTAGTTTTCCTTAATAAAAAATATAAAATGTATTTGATTCTCATCATCATTAAATTTTTTAAAGAGTCCACTCTCCTTAATTATTAATTTCATTTTATTAAAAATATGCCCACACTCATGTGCGCATACAATTGATTCTAACACTCCTCAAAATGATTTATGAATCCAATAGTGCTCCACATTGTTTACGTTTAATGCTGAAATTTATGTGCAGTGTACATTTTGAACTTGCACCACATGATTCAGATTAACTTTCAAAGGATGTTAAGACAAAGTAATCTGAACAAAACCAGCACTACAGGTCCTTTGATTGTGTCACATGTTTCCGGTCCAGAAAAAGCTATGTTCTTTTGACGTTGGTTTCAAAAACAAGAAAAGCAAAACATGCTCTTGGTGGACTTAGGAGATTTGTCCTTGAAACAAGGTAGTTCCCCATCGATAATGATACATGGTGTTACAGATATCTCAATACTAATGTGTACATTGGATAATAACGTTAAATATATATTACAGTTTGCTACCATTCACTGTTTGTTAACTACAAGTGCATAGATTAGGGTTGATTTTCAGTTGATTTCAGATGTCCAGCAATGCGTTGAATGGCCTCCGTGATAGATAAACTTGCTAATGACATTTTGCGTCAACCTGCAGAATGTAGGTTAACCGGTTCAACAAATCGAGACTTTCTTCTCCTCTTGGCTTCAGGAGTGCACCGTTTGCCACCAACGTTTCCAACTTTCATAGGTAACTTGCCATTTATAAGAGGAGATGTCCTTGTTGATTTATGCGCCTTGGAAGATGACTTGACCGAGGGAGATTTCTCAGTCTCAGTGTTTCCGTTGTCCACTTTTCGAGATGCTTTCCTCAAGGGAGACTTAACTCTCTTTCTTGACAACCGAAATCCAGTCTCCTCTCCTCTCTTGTCATGCCTAAGGAGCCAAACACGAAAGGGATTCACAGCTGTGTAACAAACGGACTCACCAGCAACCCCACTCCTATCCAACTCAACATCTCCATTGTTCACCTGAAAATTTTAATATTAAATAGGAACTCAGTTGTTAAATTAACACCCAGAAAGCTACAAATAAAATCTGAGCTGATACAGATTGGGGTTTAGCACCACCAACTAAATCAAACAGAACATGTGCTTATATATGTACAAGAGAAATACCAGTTGCAGGAGCGCAGAAAAACTCCGAGCGACATCATATTTTTGCTGACCTTTTACAACATCAGCAAATGACAAGACATTCTCATTGTCTGGTTCGAAGGATAGTCTACCAAGAATTCTTTCTCCATAGTCATGAATATCAAAAGCAGGGTGTGATTCCTAAGAAAAACATAGCACTCTTTTATTGAACCAGTGGAGGAAAAACAAGAAGAAAACATGTAATACAGCTTCTGATACACTTTTCCATAAGAAACGCGTTGACACACAGAAAGGAAGCAAAAGAGATGGAACCTACTTGCTCTTCCAAGTTGTACTCAATTTTCTGTTTCCATGTTGAAACACGAGCAGCTAGTTCAGTTTGTTTCTCGGTTTCAGCTATGCTAGCAAGGAGAGAGTCCTACAAGAAGGAACACAGGTAGCCATCCAAAAAGTTGCAGTTATTTACCCAAGTACATAATAGAAGGAAAAAGACCATATAATTTTTCCCAAAGGTGAAAGAAAAGGGGCAAAAGAAAAAAAAATTAGACAAAACACGTTGCGAGCAAAAAAAATATGAGCTGGGCTCTTTCTTCCATGATCTATTCACCTGAGATGCCTTAAAAACTACTTTCATGTCTTCTAAAAGATACTTTTCAGAGTACACAAAAAAAAAAACCATCCTAATGAGAATATGCATCCTTCCTAACATGCTGAAATAAAGAATCCATCCTAATAAACCAATAAAGTAAGACTGTATTTACAAAAATGCAATTTGCTTCAGACTCTTGGCCTCAATTACAAAGTGTTCTATGTGGATTAGAGTATTGAATGGTGCTGCAGATCAAACTATCAAATTTCTGTTGCCAATTAAAATATAACCCAGAAATCCATTGACTAAA